TTAATACATTTGTTAACCTGTGATTAATTGTGAGGTTTTTCTGGCTAACTTGTTACATGCTCTTGGCTACAAAACAAGAAAACATCTCAAAAAATGCGTCTAATTCATTTGCATTGATACTTGAAGTTCATCAATATCCTATCCTTAATGATTCTAAATTGTATAAATAATATGTTCTTGATTAACGAAGTATATGTGCTATGATTTTACCATTAGTTGTACTTACACGTTTGCATTACACATATGAGGTTCTCTTGATTTCAGAAGGAACTGATACAGACCAGCTTTGGTGTTTCTTTTGCTTTCAATTAGCTTTATTTTCAGATGGAAAATATTAAAAGGGCTATAAGTTGCCTATCCAAAATATTGCTTTTTTTTTTTTTTAAAAAACCTTATCAGCAGACAGAATAGGCTGCTGTACTTGGTGTAGGTAAGGTTGAATTGTCTGTATGGAAACCATCTTGCTATAGATTTTGAGGAAAAAATAAAATAAAAAATATAGATAGATGATAAACGTTTTGCTTTTCAAATGTCAGTGTTGTACTTTTAGGCATATGGAAACTTTATGGTTTGCCTATCTGTATCAGTTCTCCTAGAATGACAACTTAACAGTTTTCCTGGTTGGACTGTGTTAAAATCTTTAAAGGCTATATACACTAAAACATATGTCTAATGTTTGGGCAGCCAAAGTCTGTGCAATCATTTTAACCGAGTATAACTTAGCAGCTCTCTTATTACCACAAATATCTTATTGTTAAAACTACATTAAAATATCATCAGTTTGGAGCCTGCTACTTCATAATTAAATTGTTCTGGGATGTGGTCAAGTATATACTTCTGAACTACCTTAAAAATGGATTGTGCTAAGAATGCAATAGCATAAATAAATTAAAAGAGGACATGCATAATAAAGTTAAACAATTTGTTTTAATAGAGTTTTTATCTAATTAACTTTTCTTGAGTGTCTACAATGTTCAGAGCACTGTGCTAGACATTCTGCATAGGTTAATTTATGGCCATTCATAAAGACGTTTGGGTAGAAAGAATATGGATAATGGGGAAAAGTCATGGAGTGGCCAAACAAGAAACAAGTTCAGGGTTGCAGCAGAACAGGGATGCCTTGATATATCTGCCTTTGGCAATGCCATGTGTACAGGGTTGGGATTCTGATTGCTCCTATTGTGATAGTGTGGCACTAATGCTCTGTTGGACGGAATGACTGAAGTGGTGAGAAAACTGCGAGCTTTTCAGGACTGTTTTTAATGCTTTTTTGACAAATCTTTTAGAACAAATCTTTTGTTCCTTTGCAGGGAACAAAGTCCTTTTGTTTTGTAGTAGAGGACAAGGAGTGTCCTGAGTTATTCAGAGTCCTGATCTTCAATTGGCTTAGCTCTCTCTGATGCCATTTGTCACCCGTAACTCATTGGTGCTCCATCTGCCATAGGCTGGAATCCAGGAATAGTACCTAGTGGTAAAAAATTGGAGAAGTAGATACTTGGCAAATCCAGCCTTACGTGATCTTTCCTGGCTTTGATAGGTTCAGCTTTCACCCCGAAAAGTTGTTTAAACACTTTTAATTTGTTTCAAGTGATGAAATGAATTTATCTCAGAAGAAAATTTAAAAACCTTAAAATTTATTTTCTTTGGAAGAAAATATTTTTAGAATAATTATTAGTATTGTATTTATAATTATTTATCTTAAAAAGGTTAATGGCTATCTCCATTGAAATATACTTTATTAATTTTTACTAAGGACATCAAAATGCTAAATGTGGTTAGGGGAATTTCTTGACAGTTACATATTATTTTGGCTAGATATGTGAACATTAAAAGTCTGTTAAAGGGGACAAAAATATGTACTTTAATCAGAATATCTAATTAAAATAGAAAGAATAGAAAGAGTAACATTTTCTTGTTTTGTAGATTTATAAAGATCTCATTTTCACTATACTAACAGTTTTAATTTCCAAATCAGTATAGAAAAGCAATCTTCAGGAATTTTATCAAATTAAAATTGTGAATGATAAAAAGCATATAACAAATTTCTACTACACCTCACAAAATGATTGAACTATTTTCAGACAGTTCAATATATGCTAATTGAATGTGTCTGAAAATATCAGTCTTCTAAATTTTTGCATTTTCAGAATTTTGACATAATACATTTTAATACTTGTAGACATTGGCAATGATTTTTAAGAAGCAAAAATGAATCTTAAGTGCTTTCCAAATTAAGTGAAGTAATTAAATGTAAAATACTCAGCTCAGAGCCTAGCACATAAGCAATTTTTGTGACAATCATTGTTTATGATTGTGATTGTTACTTCTGGCTCTTCTCTTCTTGCTGCACTATTTTTGTTCCACTTGTTTGTAGACAAGTGGCAATTTCCACAGACTTAAAGTGTGATTACTTTTATTGTATTTTTCCTCTAGTTCTTGGTGTTTTAGAAATTTCTGGAATTATTTCCATATCTGTCAGCATACCTCCTCATCTGAGAACACACAATTTTTGTAATGCACACGCAGAGATGTTGAAGAACTTGAACTTGTCTGATGCCAATAATTTATTGCTCATTTTTTCGAGTATCTCACGGCTTTGAGGGCCAAGTGATGAGCTGGATATGGTCCTGACCTGGAGCAGATCACACAGAGTGGGATGGGAAGACTGGCTCCCCGCGTTGTTAGTGTGCCTGTTTGCTGCTGGAGTTTGGATCTCGGGATTCCCTTGCTTCTGAAGCTAGTTCTAAGATATCACAAAAACGTTATTATGTTTTTTGAGAAGATTATAACTACAAAATAACATGTATTTTTAAATCTTTGGCACTAATTCAAGGGCTTTCCCTTTATTTTTATTTACTTTAGACTTACTAGAATACTGTCAGTGATCTAAACATGCATAAAGCAAAAAGTAAAACTCTCTTTCCTACATTTCCTTGACTGACATTGCTCGGGAAGAACAATTTTGGATATTTTGGAATGAAGGTTTCCGGACTGTTTATACATGTTGGCTAGATTTACTTGTTGAAAAGATATGTTGCTTGGTGTGCTCACTGCTGTGATGGTTGTTTTTCACAAAGCGTAAGATTATGTTGTCCTGCAACTTGCTCATTTTGCCAGTTAATTTTTCATGGGTTTCTTTACATGTCCTGAGTCTTTTTCATGGCTGCATATTACTCTACTATGCTGATGCATATTGGTCTATTTAGTCATTGCTCTGCTGAGGAGCACTCAGTAGGGCTCCGAATTTTATCTACAAATCATGTTGAATTAACCTCAAAGGTTGGAAGCTTTTGTACTTGGTCATCTGTGCTTGATTTCACCACTCTGTGGCCATCTGCATAGGCCACCTGCCCTGGTTGCTTGTTTGCTTTCAGGGATTACTCTAAAGGTTGTCGTTTGATTTTGGATAGGCCTGATCTCAGACAAAAAGGACCGATTTGGTTGTGTAGGGTTTTAGGGTAACAACATTTTTATAGAACTTTCTAATTTCTAGCTGCTCAAAATTTAAGATGTGCCAGATAGCTTGGATGGATTTTGGCTGTCATCCTTAGATACTTTTATGTTGGCTGAATTCTGAGTTTCAGAGCTATAAGAATGGTCTGATTCAGAGGTTGCAGTGAGCCGACATGGTGCCACTGCAGTCCAGCCTGAACAACAGAGTGAGACTCCATCTCAAAAAAAAAAAAGAATGATCTGATTGTCAAATCTTTTTTTTTTTTTTTTTATTGTTTATTCTTAAAGTTAGGACATCTTTTAGAAAACCCTTTGAAAATACATATGTTGTTTTGTGATTGTGGAATATTTTTGTCTTTTTATATTTTTGTACGTTGAAATTTAATTTGTGACTCTTACAAATGGCATAGTCAATCACAGTCATAGAAAGCCAAATGCAAATATCCTAAGGTTAGCATTTCACTGGAGTGTGAATGGTGTTCATTAAGGTGTTCATGAAATTTTATGTTCTTCAGTCACTATTTACCTAGTAGATATGGTAACTTATTTTTGTCATGGCTACTGGCCATATCTTGGGGTTTAACATATGCTAGCTGAAACTGCTGCATACTTTGTAAATTCTGAACTATAATTGCCTAGAATGAATGAAATCTTTTATTTCAATACATATTTTTGCTTGAAAGATTTCATTTTATATTTATGAAATAGTAACAGATTTTATTAAAAGTGATCTTAAATTGTTAGAAATCGAAAGACAAAACTGCCGTTTCTCTTTGGTACTGTGATAATTTTTCAACATATTTTAAGCAATAACCTGCTGTTGATTTTAATAGTTTTTACCTGCCAGCACAGCTGGCATCCTGCTATGATATCATTGTTATACTTTTTTATTTAATATTGTACAGAGTATATCATGCATAGTGTGGACAACCACATTGAACAACTATTGAGAATACATACTAATTTAATTGTTTGTGACATTTTACCCTTAAAATAGAGTGTGATCATCAACCAGATTTTAGAGCACATTAATGGAGGGAATTTACTTTTGCAGGTATTTCTTACTGCCAAATTTTTCCTTTGCTATAGCTTTCACATACTATTTTTGTGTTTTCCTTTTCCATAAAACAGTATTTCTTAAGGTTATTGTTATTTATAGCAAACATGCCCCAAAATGAATAAAAAAAACTTTCGCTCTTTAACATGAAGAAAAATATTGACATTAAAATATGAACTATAGCAATTCAGTTTATAACACAAATGTATCTTACAATAATGAGTATGCATTTTTAATTGCATATATAGAATTACAAATCTCATTTTTCTTTTCTACTGGGATTATAAACCATATTGAAAAAATTTTTACAGTACAAAAATCAGATGACCTGTCAAAAGCGAATTGTAACTTATTGGCATACAATTTAATTACTGATTTTTACACTATTTATTGAATGTATATAATTTACTTTTATTACTGAATTAAAACTACCATCATATACATAAAATAGATATTCTTTTTAACAACAAGTTTTCCTTTTCTCTTTCAGTCTGTGATCAAAACAGGGCGACTGCTAATCAGTCACGAGGCTCCCTTGACAGGCGGTTTTGCATCGGAAATCAGCTCTACAGTTCAGGTAGGGTAATTCTTGGAACTGATTTCAATGCTTGTGCAATTGCATATGCCAATTCCAGAAGAAAATAAATTACTTATCACAATATATGAAAGCATACACTTTCTGGAAATGTAGTGCATGCTTTCATATACTGTGATAAGTAAATTTTTTTTTTCATTTTTATTCCGACCACACTTTCTGTTTGTTAGTTAATGGTCTAATTAATCTTCTAGAACAGATATCTTAAAATAGTAAAAGCTGAAAAATTTTTTATGGGAAGAAAGTTTGGAAGGAGTCTTCTAAATTAACTTTGCTTGTATTTGCTAGGTTAACAGAAAAAGAAAAATCTTTTTAATTTTTATCTATTCCCATTCCCTGTTTATATGACTTGAGGTTGTTATGGGATTGTGAAATTGATCTTAGATTTTTCACAGCCTTCACGTTCTAAAAATGAATCTCTCAAAAGTCAATAATTTAAAGTTAATAAGTAATTTAAAAAATTATTTATTTTAGTTATTCAAATTATGCTCTGGTATTGGAAATGCTTTAGTAATTGTTTAAAAAATTATCTTTTTTTTAAAAAAAAAGCTCATTAGGATGCCGCATATCAGGAAAAAATTTTGTACACCTCTTTCTGGCAAGTTTTACCTAAAACCTGTATTCAAATTTATATCATAGACATGTATAAGATAATTTAAGGTGGTTTCATTCTTCCTAATTTTTAAATTGAAAATTAAGTGGCCATATTTGAAATGGAAGGTGCATATATTTTAAATTCTGAATATCTTAGCAGTTTGGAAACACTTTACTTCCCTTTACTGGTGTGAAGGTGTTTTAATTATTAAGATACACGAATAGCGAATTCCTTTAAGAGTATATGTCTTACTACGTTGTTATAGAATTATGATGTGTGGATATTGGTAAGTTTTTAGTTTTAGATGTTTAATCAGTAAACAATGATTTTTGCCAATGAAATATCTTAAGTGCTAATTGCAAAATTACAAGTATTTGTAAATTAGATGAACCCAATTTAAACATAAATGTTTTAAAAACTAGATCAAAGTAATCCATAATTATGTCTCAAAAACAAAATTATATTTACAATTTATATATAGTCACTGATAATAAGAAAAGCAAATATTTGAGTTTTGTAGATTTGTTGTTTTCCTAGTTACTATATCAATTAAAATTTAAAACATACTGATTATTATTATATAACATGAGTATCTAGTATTTATTGTGTATTTTATACATTGAGTAGCATAATACAAAGATTAGGGCAATCATTTCAAGCCAGAGGCAAAACTGGAAAAAGAAACTGGATTTTCTGACTTGCACTTAATATGTAGTGTACTAAACCATTTGAAAGGATAGTGGCTGTTGCTAATTGAAACTTTGATAGCCTTGTTGTATTTTGTTCACTGCTTATTGATATCTCAAAAGTTTCATTTGCCTATAATTAAAAAGGAAAACAAGTAGAACATAGTTGGAATTAGATACTATAACTCCTCTTGTGAAGTTTACTTTCCCTAAGTGTGCTTTTAAAATTTGATCTCTGTAAGTTATTGGTAGACTACAATTTAATGCAGCATTTTTTAGACTGAAATGGAATTAGAAAGATAATCTAATCTAGTGTCTCTTGGTCTTAAATAATATGTGGTCTTATGTTAATGGAAAATGTCTCTCACGCCCCAAGAATACATTGGTGAATCCCAGTTTGAGAAATAGTATATTAAGAATTAAACATAGTCACTATAACTAACATAAAATATCATAAACATAATATCAAAATAAGATCCTGAAATTATGTGATAATAATCAGTTGCAAAAATTGTCAGTGAGATTATCAGAATATAATCATATTTATATAATAATATGAAAACACCAAAACAAAACATCTTGTAACTCTCTCAGACTCCCAGGAATGTGTTCATAGATCCTCAGGTGTCCATAGTCTATAGACTGAGAAATATTGATCTAAACCAACTGTATTCTTTTTACAGATGAGTGTCATCCCTAGTGTTTGTGACTTACCCATTTTATAAAGACAGTGGAATATCTGGGATTAGACAGGACTCTTGAATAAATGTTAAGTGTGTGCACATGCACTCTTTATTCAAAATCCCCTGCCTTCCATGAGGATGATAATAGAAGTTTTGGACCCATTATAAAATGTTCTGTTGTTCATGGTAAAATTATTCACCAGCTAACCACAGAATGACTTAAGACAATACTGTAATATTTGATGGAGGAATTATATTTAATATTTTGGGTAATTTGAGTTTGGATTTATTAATATGAGAAATTTGAAATGTACGCAGTGTTTTTGCTTAATTCAGATTTTATTTGCACAAATAGAAAGTATAGAAGATGAATTTTAGTAAAGTTTAATGAGCATGATATCTCTAAATGTTTGCCTCTTACGGCTTTTATCTAATGATAAAGAAGATTAGAAAAAAAACTGGACACTTGAATTTTTTTTTTCTTTTTCATTGATAATTTTTCCATATAATTTTGAGTAATCTGAGTAATAAAATATACTTTTCCGTAAATCTTTCATGCAGATGTTCAACTATGCAATATGCTGTGTTGAGCTTCCTCTCTATGGAAAGCCTTGTTCCATATTATAAGTGAAACCTGTATCAAATTACCAATGCCTTGGGTTGTTTAAACTGAAATCACCTAAGTTTGAGGTACAATTGCTTTCACCACTTAGCATGATTCATATTTTTCTATTTCTTTTTGGGGATATATTTTGTAAGGTTAAAAAAGATAAAACAGGGTTAAGATATTGAAAGCCAACTTTCTGGGACGGGAGAGAAAATGTACACGGACGACTTTTTCATTGTTGTCTTGGAAAAGATATTTTAAATCGTGGATGAGAATGATGTATAAATTTGAGTACTTTTGATTAAAATATGAAGTTATTGTTGTTTCAACAAATGCAAGTTTTATGTCAAAGCAAATGAAAAAAAGTTTGCTCCACAGGCGATTTTTGATAGAAGATATCTGTAGCTTTTTAAAAGCTCATGGTTAATACTACAAAATTGCTTTTGAAGTATTTTAAGAGGATGGATATTAATAGTAAAATTCTTGTTTTTAAATACATTAAAATCTGAAAGCACCTGAAAATCTGAACTATGCTGTTTTATTCAAAGTTTAAGTTACTACCTAGATTAAAATAAAAAATATTGAAGAGAATACAGCACTATGGAGAGTATTCTTTTAAGTTTATAATTGGTATTTTTAAATAGAAAAATTGTATTATGCTGTATAAAATTAAATATCAAATAAAGGAACCTTCTTTATAAGAAGTAGTATTGGCATTACTGTTTAAAGCTTATTTTAGTGTACAGATCAAATATGAAAATAATAAATATAAGATGGAGTCATAATTTATTTACAAAACTCTAGTTTATGGCAGATGACTCTTTCATTGTGCAAGGAATTCAGTGCCCACATCTTAGGTTTGTTTCATGACTGCTACTTTTTTTGTAAGCCTATTTATTTTACTATTTTACAGAAATTTATTGTTAACAGTCTTAATTTGAAATAATGGTAAACTCACAGAAGTGATTAGAAGACTACTTTATATTGATTAGACATATTTTTTAAACTTATTTATTTAAAGTTTCTTCATAAAACTTATATATAGAGAGAGAAATAAATGATTATAAAAATAAAAACAGTGCATCTAATCTACCAAGTGCTTTATATTTCTATTGGATTTAATTTGGAAATTACCTGGAAGGCAGAACAAACTGAGGTCTGGTATATTTGGCCCTGCTCTGGGGAAGATTTCTTAGTCAGTCATCTAAAGCTTCACTCTCTCTTCTTATCTAATCTTACATTCCCATCTGTTCTCACTTTAGGGTATGGGAACTTTTTCATTCTTTTCTTTTACTTGACACATACTGTAATTTAAAATGCTTCTTTTAGGGAGTCATGAATTGTGCACCCTAATTTGTGGAAAAGTGCAATGACTATAGAGTTTAGCTAATTCATTGTTCTTTTTATTGTGTATTTTAAGCAAAGATTTTATTGTTTCAGAAAATTATATGAATTAATTTTATTTGATGCTTGTATTCTTCAGCTTTATGTAACCACAGATTTTTTTTAAGAAAGCCTTTAGTGTACAAAAGTATTAACCTCATCCATTTTAATATCCCCCAAATTATATATTCTAGAATGTAATGTTCAACATAGCTATTATTTATTTAAATATTAAGACCAAATAATTTATGACATTTTGGCTGGTTTAAATAGAGTAAATTTTTTTAAGAATTGCAAATCAGCCTTTATTATTAATTTCCAACACACCTCCATAATGAAAAAACAAATCCTGAGTCTGATAAGAGTTGTGTGATAATTTTTTTTAAAGTTGTTGTTTTTTTCTCCTGCTTTGGATTCAGTGCTTAAAAAGAGTGCCAAAAATTTTAGGGATGTGGTTGGCTTAAAGATTCGAGTTTTTTTTTTTTTTTTTTTTTTTTTAAATCACATGGAAGCAATAAGTCTGCAATAAAGAGTCCAATTGGAGAGGATGGTAAGTTTCCATACCATTGTTACATCCTTTCTGTGCGGTCTCTTTTTTTAGCATAAGAACTCAGAAATTGTGGATACCACACATGTATTTTTTAAGATTATTAGATTCTAATACTTTCAAAGGATTTTTATAGGGCCTACTCAAATCATTATGTCAAAGAAAAGTTTCAATAACTTTCAAGTTAAAGGAATTTTTGCTTTTCTTAGTGTTTCATGTTAGGATAGTTTATAGAGAAGGATTTTTTCTTACAAACTTATTACTACTAAATTTCCAAGCACTCTGTTTAAAGATATCAATCTGAAAAGAGGGGGAAAGGTCCTATATGGTCTTGAATTTTTACCATTGTGGAAAACATGTTTAATTAAAATTGCCATGCTGATAAATTGTCATCAGAGAAAACTATCAGATTAGTAATTTGATGAGTAGTTTACTGCAATTTTATAATCTCAATTAACAAAAAATTTACCAGTGATACAAA